GACGACGCGATACCCCGCAGTAAGATGGCCGCCTGACGACGCGCTACCCCGCAGTAAGATGGCCGCCTATCGACGGGCTACCCCTAGGCATGATGGACGCCTGACGACGCGCTACCCCGCAGTAAGATGGCCGCCTGACGACGGGCTACCCCTAGGCATGATGGCCGCCTGACGACGTGCTACCCGCAGTAAGATGGCCGCCTGACGACGCGCTACCCCGCAGTAAGATGGCCGCCTGACGACGCGCTTGCATGCAGTAAGATGGCCGCCTGACGATGCGCTACCCCGCAGTAAGATGGCCGCCTGACGACGCGCTACCCCGCAGTAAGATGGCCGCCTGACGACGCGCTACCCCGCAGTAAGATGGCCGCCTGACGACGCGCTACCCCGCAGTTAGATGGCCGCCTGACGACGCGCTCGCCCGCAGTAAGATGGCCGCCTGACGACGCGCTTGCCTGCAGTAATATGGCCGCCTGACGACGCGCTGCCCCGCAGTAAGATGGCCGCCTGACGACGCGCTTCCCCGCAGTAAGATGGCCGCCTGACGACGCGCTACCCCGCAGTAAGATGGCCGCCTGACGACGCGCTACCCGCAGTAAGATGGCCGCCTGACGACGCGCTACCCCGCGGTAAGATGGCCGCCTGACGACGGGTTACCCCTAGGCATGATGGCCGCCTGACGACGCGCTACCCACGGTAAAATGGCCGCCTGACGACGCGCTACCCCGCAGTAAGATGGCCGCCTGACGATGCGCTACCCCGCGGTAAGATGGCCGTCGGACGACGCGCTACCCCGCGGTAAGATGGCCGCCTGACGACGCACTACCCCGCAGTAAGATGGCCGCCTGACGACGCGATACCCCGCAGTAAGATGGCCGCCTGACGACGCGCTTCCCCGCAGTAAGATGGCCGCCTGACGACGCGCTACCCCGCGGTAAGATGGCCGCCTGACGACGGGTTACCCCTAGGCATGATGGCCGCCTGACGACGCGCTACCCACGGTAAAATGGCCGCCTGACGACGCGCTACCCCGCAGTAAGATGGCCGCCTGACGATGCGCTACCCCGTAGTAAGGTGGCCGCTTGACGACGCGCTACCCCGCAGTAAGATGGCCGCCTGACGACGCGCTACCCCGCAGTAAGATGGCCGCCTGACGACGCGCTACCCCGCAGTAAGATGGCCGCCTAACGACGGGCTACCCCTAGGCATGATGGCCGTCTGACGACGCGCTACCCTCGGTAAGATGGCCGCCTGACGACGCGCTACCCCGCAGTAAGATGGCCGCCTGACGACGCGCTACCCTGTAGTAAGGTGGCCGCTTGACGACGCGCTACCCCGCGGTAAGATGGCCGCCTGACGACGCGCTACCCCGCGGTAAGATGGCCGCCTGACGACGCGCTACCCCGCGGTAAGATGGCCGCCTGACGACGTGCTACCCCGCTGTAAGATGGCCGCCTGACGACGCGCTATCCCGCAGTAAGATGGCCGCCTGACGACGCGCTTGCCTGCAGTAAATGGCCGCCTGACGACGCGCTAACCCGCAGTAAGATGGCCGCCTGACGACGCGCTACCCGCAGTAAGATGGCCGCCTATCGACGGGCTACCCCTAGGCATGATGGTCGCCTGACGACGCGCTACCCCGCAGTAAGATGGCCGCCTGACGACGCGCTACCCCGCAGTAAGATGGCCACCTGACGACGCGATACCCCGCAGTAAGATGGCCGCCTGACGACGCGCTACCCCGCAGTAAGATGGCCGCCTATCGACGGGCTACCCCTAGGCATGATGGACGCCTGACGACGCGCTACCCCGCAGTAAGATGGCCGCCTGACGACGGGCTACCCCTAGGCATGATGGCCGCCTGACGACGTGCTACCCGCAGTAAGATGGCCGCCTGACGACGCGCTACCCCGCAGTAAGATGGCCGCCTGACGACGCGCTTGCATGCAGTAAGATGGCCGCCTGACGATGCGCTACCCCGCAGTAAGATGGCCGCCTGACGACGCGCTACCCCGCAGTAAGATGGCCGCCTGACGACGCGCTACCCCGCAGTAAGATGGCCGCCTGACGACGCGCTACCCCGCAGTTAGATGGCCGCCTGACGACGCGCTCGCCCGCAGTAAGATGGCCGCCTGACGACGCGCTTGCCTGCAGTAATATGGCCGCCTGACGACGCGCTGCCCCGCAGTAAGATGGCCGCCTGACGACGCGCTTCCCCGCAGTAAGATGGCCGCCTGACGACGCGCTACCCCGCAGTAAGATGGCCGCCTGACGACGCGCTACCCGCAGTAAGATGGCCGCCTGACGACGCGCTACCCCGCAGTAAGATGGCCGCCTGACGACGCGCTTGCCTGCAGTAAGATGGCCGCCTGACGACGCGTTACCCCGCAGTAAGATGGCCGCCTGACGACGCGCTACCCCGCAGTAAGATGGCCGCCTGACGACGCGCTACCCCGCGGTAAGATGGCCGCCTGACGACGCGCTACCCCGCGGTAAGATGGCCGCCTGACGACGCGCTACCCCGCGGTAAGATGGCCGCCTGACGACGCGCTACCCCGCGGTAAGATGGCCGCCTGACGACGCGCTACCCCGCTGTAAGATGGCCGCCTGACGACGCGCTATCCCGCAGTAAGATGGCCGCCTGACGACGCGCTTGCCTGCAGTAAAATGGCCGCCTGACGACGCGCTACCCCGCAGTAAGATGGCCGCCTGACGACGCGCTAACCCGCAGTAAGATGGCCGCCTGACGACGCGCTACCCGCAGTAAGATGGCCGCCTATCGACGGGCTACCCCTAGGCATGATGGTCGCCTGACGACGCGCTACCCCGCAGTAAGATGGCCGCCTGACGACGCGCTACCCCGCAGTAAGATGGCCGCCTGACGACGCGATACCCCGCAGTAAGATGGCCGCCTGACGACGCGCTACCCCGCAGTAAGATGGCCGCCTATCAACGGGCTACCCCTAGGCATGATGGACGCCTGACGACGCGCTACCCCGCAGTAAGATGGCCGCCTGACGACGGGCTACCCCTAGGCATGATGGCCGCCTGACGACGTGCTACCCGCAGTAAGATGGCCGCCTGACGACGCGCTACCCCGCAGTAAGATGGCCGCCTGACGACGCGCTTGCATGCAGTAAGATGGCCGCCTGACGATGCGCTACCCCGCAGTAAGATGGCCGCCTGACGACGCGCTACCCCGCAGTAAGATGGCCGCCTGACGACGCGCTACCCCGCAGTAAGATGGCCGCCTGACGACGCGCTACCCCGCAGTTAGATGGCCGCCTGACGACGCGCTCGCCCGCAGTAAGATGGCCGCCTGACGACGCGCTTGCCTGCAGTAAGATGGCCGCCTGACGACGCGTTACCCCGCAGTAAGATGGCCGCCTGACGACGCGCTACCCCGCAGTAAGATGGCCGCCGGTGTTCGTCGTCGTCTTCGCCCCGCCCACTCTCCGGTTGCGTTCCCCCCACCCCCTCCGCGCGTCCATCGGCCATGTTTAACCTCCTCTCGTTTGAAGCGAGCAGATTCGTCGAGATGAGCCCAAAAAAAGAGCGCGAAATATCCGCGTAAAAGGGAAAGTAGTTGGGCGGAAAAATTATTCTCGAAACTCATTTTGAAATAGAACCGTCGCCGTGCTTGGGGGATATCTCGCGATGGCCTCAGGTGAGTGGAGAAGGCGGCGGCGGCGGCAGGAACTGGTGGCCGCGCAAACGGGCGACTGGGTCGGCTACTGGGCCACTCACTGGGAGCAGCAGAAGCAGCAGCAGACGAGAGAAGCAGCAGCAGCAGTAGACAAGAGAAGCGGCAGCAGCAATAGACGAGAGAAGCAGCAGTAGACGAGAGAAGCAGCAGCAGCAGTAGACGAGAGAAGCAGCAGTAGACGAGAGAAGCAGCAGTAGACGAGAGAAGCAGCAGCAGCAGTAGACGAGAGAAGCAGCAGTAGACGAGAGAAGCAGCAGTAGACGAGAGAAGCAGCAGCAGCAGTAGACGAGAGAAGCAGCAGCAGACGAGAGAAGCAGCAGCAGCAGCAGACGAGAGAAGCAGCAGTAGACGAGAGAAGCAGCAGCAGCAGTAGACAAGAGAAGCAGCAGTAGACGAGAGAAGCAGCAGTAGACGAGAGAAGCAGCAGCAGCAGTAGACGAGAGAAGCAGCAGTAGACGAGAGAAGCAGCAGCAGCAGTAGACGAGAGAAGCAGCAGCAGACGAGAGAAGCAGCAGTAGACGAGAGAAGCAGCAGCAGCAGTAGACAAGAGAAGCAGCAGTAGACGAGAGAAGCAGCAGTAGACGAGAGAAGCAGCAGCAGCAGTAGACGAGAGAAGCAGCAGTAGACGAGAGAAGCAGCAGTAGACGAGAGAAGCAGCAGCAGACGAGAGAAGCAGCAGCAGCAGTAGACAAGAGAAGCAGCAGTAGACGAGAGAAGCAGCAGTAGACGAGAGAAGCAGCAGTAGACGAGAGAAGCAGCAGTAGACGAGAGAAGCAGCAGCAGCAGCAGACGAGAGAAGCAGCAGCAGCAGCAGACGAGAGAAGCAGCAGTAGACGAGAGAAGCAGCAGTAGACGAGAGAAGCAGCAGTAGACGAGAGAAACAGCAGTAGACGAGAGAAGCAGCAGCAGCAGCAGACGAGAGAAGCAGCAGTAGACGAGAGAAGCAGCAGTAGACGAGAGAAGCAGCAGTAGACGAGAGAAACAGCAGTAGACGAGAGAAGCAGCAGCAGCAGTAGACGAGAGAAGCAGCAGTAGACGAGAGAAGCAGCAGTAGACGAGAGAAGCAGCAGCAGCAGTAGACGAGAGAAGCAGCAGCAGCAGCAGCAGTAGACGAGAGAAGCAGCAGTAGACGAGAGAAGCAGCAGCAGCAGTAGACGAGAGAAGCAGCAGTAGACGAGAGAAGCAGCAGTAGACGAGAGAAACAGCAGTAGACGAGAGAAGCAGCAGCAGCAGCAGACGAGAGAAGCAGCAGTAGACGAGAGAAGCAGCAGTAGACGAGAGAAACAGCAGCAGCAGTAGACGAGAGAAGCAGCAGCAGCAGACGAGAGAAGCAGCAGCAGCAGACGAGAGAAGCAGCAGTAGACGAGAGAAGCAGCAGCAGTAGCAGCAGTAGGAGCCCTCTCCTCGCTCCGGCTGAGTTCGCAGTTCGCGAACGTTGCGCAGCGTGGCGACTCGGGGCGACTCGGGGCGCGCGTCTGGCCACTGTGCCGCGTTGTAATGTCGCTACAAGTGGCCCGCGTGTGTTGGGGCAGGCGGGAGGGCACGGCCACAGTGCACGGCTACACGTGCACTGTTTGTTCGTGTTGTGTTTCATTGGGGGATTCTTTTTTAAAGTCTGACCGTGAATATTACCATTTTAATTCTGGAGTGGGATTATGCAAAATTATTACAACACTCCGTGTGCGCTGAATGTGCTGCGGTGTTCATAATTGAGATTTGTATTTATCAGTGCCACCACTGGGGTTTAACAACCCAGTTTGGTGAATTTTCTTAAATGTGCTATTTTAAATCGACCAAGGAAACAACTGTCAAAAACAACCTCAGCAATTTAATTTCCTCCCAATCTCGGTGTCTGAAGTCCTGTCCTTGTTTCTCCACTCACCTCCAATTCGCAGGGTTGGCGACTTACTGTCCGACATACAGCAAACATACAAACAGCAAACATACATACAGCAAACATACATACAGCAAACATACATACAGCAAACATACAGCAAACATACATACAGCAAACATACATACAGCATACATACAGCAAACATACATACAGCAAACATACAGTAAACATACAGCAAACATACATACAGCAAACATACATACAGCAAACATACATACAGCAAACATACATACAGCAAACATACAGCAAACATACAGCATACATACAGCAAACATACATACAGCAAACATACAGTAAACATACAGCAAACATACATAAAGTAAACATACATACAGCAAACATACATACAGCAAACATGCAAACATACATACAGCAAACATACATACAGCAAACATACATACAGCAAACATACATACAGCAAACATACATACAGCAAACATACATACAGCAAACGTACAAATAAAAAAACACTTTCCTTTGTAATGGTAACAATGGCTTCCTGCCCGCATTTGCCCTCCACATTGTGGGTAACGTCACTGAAAAACCTGTAGCCCATCATACATTTAGCATATCCATTCCAGAGGCATCCACCCTCCTGAATGGAAACTGCTCATGCGCCCTCGTCATAAATGTGGCGCTCCAAACGACCCAAACAATTACCGCCCTATCTCAATCTGCCCCCCCCAACCCTCCCAATCAAATGTGGTTCGTGTATCGAAGTGTGCTGTTTAGTTTTTGAGAACACATTGGGATGCGGAGCGGTGGTGGCGCGCACGCGTGTCAATGTGTCATCCCGCAGTTTGTGTTGTGAAACTCCCAGTGGGCGTCCAGATGCCACACTGGCTCGCCAGGAGCAGGAAGTCCAGCAGGTTAAATCGTCGCTCTCAGTTTCCATGTGTACGTGGACAGTGTTGCCCCCTGCTCTGGCTGCTCCACTTTCCTCCCACTTGTCTAATAACGCGTTCATCGGCTGAAAACGCCTTGAAACAAGGACTCAATGCAGGACCCTCCTTAAAAAGTGTCCGACTACTCGGTGTGGCGTTCCTGGTTAAATGAGTACATTTAGAGAACGTGTAGGCACGTGTATTTCATTGTGAGGCACGATGGACATTACAGCATTGTCGGCGTGCCGAATCCTAAAGCTTGAGGGACTTTCGTTGCAGATGGAGCCCTGTACATGTGCCGGTTGTGTAACCAGTTCTCACCCAACAAGACCCGACTCCTGTCACACGTGACCGAGTGCCACCCAGGAGAAGATGAGCCTCCTGGCACCATCGTCATTCTTCTCCAGCCTCTGTCCGAAGCCGGAGTTGCGAATTCTGGGCAGCTGGGTAGGCTTAAACATTATTGCAATCGATACAATAAGCAGCATCGTATTAATGCTTAAAATTTAAATTTCAGTGAATATATCGTACAATAACAGCTCTTTAGAGTGTAAAAGTGGTTGCAATTTTCTTTTAACTAATCAGATAAGTCAAAAGTTACTTTGCAGTAATTGGGAGTGGTGTGGCTTGTCTCTGGATTTACAGAGGTGAAGAAAAAGAGGGGACGGCCTAAAGGGTCACGCAAGAAGTCCAGCGTTGATGCTTCAGATGCCTCCGAGGTTGATGACAATACGAAGGCTAAGACCCACTCTGAAAAGAGTAATCCTGCAAGCACTGTAGGAACAGAAGAGCTCCAGGTTGACATTGACTGTGGTGGTGAAGGGGGCCCAGTAAACAACAACCCAGACAGAGAGCCCGAGCCTGAGGAGCAAGTGGCTCACGACCAAATGAATTGTGGGAAATGCCGGCGCAGATTCTCCAATCAACGTCAGCTGAGAAAGCATCGCTGCATGCCACTTGTGGGCGAGGACAGAGATGATGCAGAGGAGAGGAGGGAGAAAGGTAAATGCTGCCCTCTACTATAACGTGTTTGTGTTTTATTATAATAGGGTGCTATTACACGTTTAACATACTTGTTACTTGATCGAGTATTGTACTCTGTTAAGAAGCAGCATGGTTCTTCTTGTTATGATGCAGGTGCCTCTATGCCTGCAGAGGTGGCAGACTCTGGAGAACGAAATGAGCAACATAACATAAAAGGAGACACGGAACAAGCAGAGCCAGCGAACATTCAGAAAGTAGTGCACGAAGACTCGACTGCACCTACCGAGGAGAGCAATGCGCCTGCTGGCTTGCTGCTGATGCCCCAGGAGGCCGTATCAGGTGCGCCTCGGACTTGTATCTCGTGCCCTTTTACAGACGGAAGTACTACCGAAATTAGACAACCATTTTATTATACTGTGTTCTATAATATTAAGAAACTGCATTGGCAGTGGTGCACAAGCACAATAAATAAACAAATCCACTTTCACCACTCGAGCTACCTTGCAACAGAAACCCTTATTCATCCATGAACAACACTTTGTAGTAAAGTTTCAAAACATCTGGGAGCTATGGTGAACATGTTGATCATCTATTGAGGCCTCAACAGCTCATACCCACTGCCCCCTGATGCATTTGCAGGGCAGTGCAAAAGGGGAGACGTAAAGGGGGATAGTACTACATATAAAAGCAATGTTGATGAAGAACATGAGGAGTATAATTATATGTTGGGCACAAAAACCACGTTATACTCACCGCATCACTGTCATTGCAGAGGAGCAAGCTTATTTTTGGAGATGAAAAAAGCAATAGTCTGCATTGTAGTGAAGTAACCGTGTTGTTGAAATGCCATTATTGCCAAAAAATGGATGCAGCAAGGACCGTGCCAGCACCTGGCCCAGAGGAGTCAGCTGACACGGTGATGCAGCCTGCCGCCATGGAAGCTGCCAAGGAACGAGGCTTCCAGGAGTACTCCATCTCACAGCTCTGCACCGGACAAAACAACATCACGAGGCAAGTGCCTCGCAGCACAATGAACACGTTTTGGTCCATATGCTTATACTGCCTATACAGGAATCCCATGCTATACATAAGGGATGTGTTCCTGGGAAATGCTGCTTCACTCGAAATTACTTGAAGTAAACTCTAATATCCCACAGATGTTGTTAAAATCAGGGGTTGCGTTTCGAGTCAACATTTCTAGAATACTAATTTGTGACTAAATGTCATGAAGTGTACAAAAAAGCACATTATAAGTTAACATACATTATATCTCATCATGAATAATAAGATAAAATGTACCGGAGATAGTTGAAGAGCTTGCTGGTCGGGCCCTCTTGGGGTGAGCAGTGGTGGAGTTCTGCAGACAAAGGGGCAGGATGTGTGTGTAGCCAGTAGAGGTGTTAATACCTCGAGTTATACTCAGTGTGAGGAAGAACACGTGTTGGCCTGTGTTGTGCCCAGTGTGAGTAATAAAGAAGAAGTACCCTCTACACGACGTGTCGTGGAAGTCGCTCATTACACGGTTAAAACATACGCGCTATCCCCAATCTGCTCCACACTTCCGCTGCAGGGCAAACAGTCTGAAGATCTTCTCGTGCGAGTACTGTGGAAAGGTCTTCAAGTTTAAGTATTCGCTGCAGGTCCATCTGCGTGTCCACACCCAGGAGAAGCCGTATAAGTGCCCTGACTGTGACTATGCCAGTGCCATCAAGGTAACTGTAGTTTACCACCAAATCACTCAAAATCCAGTTCATTAATGAAGCCTCCATTTTGTTGGAGAATTTGACTTTACAAGAAAAATCTTCGCACAGAAAGCTCACAAACACACGCACTGTGACATATGCAAGTTAAAACAGAGGCAAGTGCGTGAACATACACCCACAGACGTGCGTTTTATAGCATGTGTGGCAATGCTACATATTGTAAATACAAATGTTTATTTGTTAATCTTGGCCAAAACAACTAAACAAATCAGCTATAGCAGTAAGCTGTGTTTGCGGTATTTGAATTTTCTACGTGTGAAGTGACCTCTGCCAGACAGACTGGAGGTATGTTATAATTCCCGAGCATAACGATAAGTAGACTTTTAGAGTTCTCTTAAAAACCTACGATGAGTGACATTGATCGTTTGCCGATGGCGTGCGCAGGCCAACTTGGTGGTGCACATTCGCAAGCACACGGGCGAAGCCTTCAGCTGTGAGAAGTGCCCCTTTACCTGCCGCAACCGAGGACACCTGCGCGTGCACATGGAGCGCGTGCACCAGCGGGTGAAGCACGCCTGCTCCTTCTGCAGGATGCGGTATGCGGATGTAAACTTAAAACAAACTTTTATTTGACCAGGTGAGGCCCACTGAGCTCTATAGCTCTTTTTCAGAAGCAACTTGGCCACAAATGATAGCCAAATGAAGTGGCTTATCGTGTTAAAGTTTATAGCAGCCAAATACTCTTAATGCGTGTTTATAAATGTGGAGGGAAAAACCGGAGGACCCGGAGAAAAATTCACACGACCACGGGGAGAACATGCAAACTCCAAATTTACAGGCATTAGGGTCGGGTTCGATCCCACGACCTTTTGTATACCAGGCAAGGTAGCTAAAATCTCCTAGCCACCGATATTTTAGAACAATGTAGATGTAACACGCTGTGTGACATGAATACACCCTTTTTATGCATGTGAGCTTTCAGAAGTGTTTCTCGTTTAACGTTTGAGTGGCCCACGACCATATATCCGCGAGCTGCATGAAATCATTCTGCTTGCGAGCCATAGCTTCCCCATCCCTGAATTCTGCGCTTCGAATGTGAAGGATAACATTCAGGTTAGTGATGACAGTAGTGATGGCAACAATTGTTGTGCACGGCAGCTACACCGAAGTGAAGAACTTGCTGAAGCACCTGGAGCAGACCCACGACCAGCAGGATGAAAAGGTGCGCGTGGCTTATGCCGAGCTGAGGCTGCGCACGCGCGAGGGCCGGCGCCAGCTGCTCTACACGTGCCCCGTGTGCGGCCACGCCTTTAAGACGCAGTACGCCCGTGACCAGCACCGGCTCACCCACGCCGAGCCCGGCGTGCACCACACGCTCTCGTGCCACCTCTGCAGCTACGCGGCATCCCGCCTGTCGGTGCTCAAGGCCCACGTGCACAGGCAAGTGGCCGTCCCTCTCCTTTAAGCCACGTTGTTGCCGCCTGCGATCAAAGAGGCAAAGTGCAGCCCTGCAATAACCCGCTTTCTCCCACTGCTGGCAGAAGGGTTGCCATTGGAAGGAATTTTTGGGTCACTCTTCTACACTGGGCAAGATTCTTGAAAGAGATGGGAATGCCCCCATTTTACCCGACCACACGCGACCTGCTGATAGACAAATTGGTGTGCCCATTTATACTGCTGGGTGGGCAGAGATGGGAGGATTTAGGAAACTTGGACATTGTTACAACTGCCATGCCAGCAGACTGAATCGAACCAGCAACTACTGGATTACAAGTCCTCTTTACATAATCATTACTTCACAAAGCACCTCCATGAGACATAGGAAACATGAATAAGATGCTGTAACATATATCTTTCCGAGTTCTGCTTTATGTGTTGATGTTAACTGTTTTCTAACAAAAGGATATTAAGCAGCATTTAGATACTACGGCTTATTTTAATACTAAAATGTAGTTTTTGCGTTGGCCATTTTGCGATATCCTTGTGCACAGCATAAATATCGATGTTATATCAATAGTGTCGATTTAACTTTGGACACCCGTGACATTCATCAATGATTTTCTCTGAACGTGGCAGGCACCGCATGGTGTACACGTGCGCGGTTTGCACCTGTAAGTTTGTGAGCGCGGCCTGGCTCCGATCGCACCTGGCCAAGCAGCATGCCGATGATCCACGCTTCGCGTCCGACGCCCTCTTCGACGAATCCCTCGGTCGGAGCTTCTACCTCGTGGAGCCTGGCATCGGTGAGGATTCGGCCGATGCCGAGCAGCCCGACACCAGGGATCAAAAGGACGACCAGACGCTAATTCAGGACCCTCAAACGTCGCTCTACAATGCAGCGGACGGCGAAAAGCTCGGCCAGGATGGCGACGGGGCATTGCTGTTGAACGTTGGCTTACAGACGAGCGGGGAGAACGATCACCTGCAGAGCAAAGCAGACCTGGAGTGCTGCGAGGCTGCAGCGACGAGCAGCAGTGACCTGGAGCCAGGTTCATCCGTCGTGGGACCCGAGTCTGAATGTTTCAGCATGGCCAAGGACATTGATGGCGCACAAGAGGGGTTGTCCGCTTTTGATTTGATCTTCAGTGAGCTGCCGAAGAGGTCCCTCAGCCGCGCTGTGTACGAGAAGCTGAGACGAGAGTTCGGAGACCTGGAGTGTGAACATTGTGGTATGCTCACCGGTCATAACATATTGTCACTTCATAGCCTCACCATACTCATTTTATGCGGAATTATGGTTGTGTGTGATTAAAAAAAACTGGAACTGGAGAAAAATATGCGTCCTGTTAACATAAGGCATCGCTCGTTTATTTACATTAATTACAAAATCCTTTGTGCTAATGTTTTATTACTCGAATTTTATCCCGATTCTTGCTATATATCGTGACATTTTATATGAATAAACACCGTGTGAATAGGACTTGAACAAGTAATTATTTTTATAATTCGAAATGTATATGTTATGTTTTCTGTACCGCCCACCTATGCAGGGAAGCTCTTCTGGTACCAGGGCATGTTGGACATGCACTTGCGGACACACACGCGCGAGCACCCCTACGTTTGCACGCAGTGCGACTACTCGTCTGCCACCAAGAACGGACTCAAGCGGCACGAGACGCTCAAGCACGGCCAGCAGCAAATGAGCTGCAGTGAGCCTGGCTGCACCTTCGCCACAGCCGACAAGTACAAGCTGCAGGGACACGTACAGAGACGGCACTCCGCGAATGTGAGTCGCCTCACCTTCTTGCCCCTGGATCCACGCGAATGTCGTGGTGCTTGTTGTCATCGGCGCTTTCGCGCTCTGCCTATAGCATTGTATTGCATGTGCATGGCCAGCCAAGCGCAGGCTGGTCTGCAAAGGCATTAGAAGTTGTTGGCAGGGAATGTGCAAACATAACCCCCACCCCCACTGCAGTGTTGATAAAGACGTTTATTTTTTTTTGAAATGATCTCGGATATAGTTTCTGTTTATTCCACATATCGTTCATGGGTACATTTTTGTGATCTGAGCTCACAGATTGCACCACAATTAAAATAAGCATGGAGTTTAAGCTACACAACGGACACCAGATGGTTGTGAAAGCAGAGTTGATAGATAAACATTTCCACATTTTTTCCGTGACACATTTAAAAGCTTCACATTAGGTTTAAAGCACTCATATGCTTTTATTTTAATTTATTATTTTATCTTTAGACGTGACTTAACCGAAAGAACCAAAGAAGAACACTCATAGTAGTTACACCAAGCAGTGAATCTTGATATTACTTATGCTGCATCACATTGGCTGCAGGGCTTTGCACAGTGGCTGTGAAGTACGTGACGTCAGGATGAACGGCTCGTGGCCTCTCCCCACGAGCCGACCCCCCCGTGTCACAAGATTGAGGTTAGGTGGGGTCTGCCGACAGGGCAGCCGAGGTGTGCTGCTTCTGTGCAAAGACTCCACACAATGCAATACAACCCCTATTCTCTCTACATGTGCTGCCCTGCAGTGTTACCATAACAATCCATGCACCATGTATTACATTTGTACACGTGTACAACCCTATTGTCAATCCACTGCTGAAGGAGGGCCTCTATGCGGCTGTGCAGGTCATGGGGGCCGTTTGGAGTTACTTTGTGCAGAGATTAAACAACTCGCGTGGTCCTCATTCATTCTCTATTCGTGCCCCATAGACCCGGAATCCCATTGCTTCAACAATGTCCTTGGTGACTGTCCCATATAAATCACAACTTGATGCTGAGCTGTCGATTATTTAGAACTTCACTTGTAATTACATTGGTCTGGTATATTCTTGTTTATTTACCGAAAAGTACAATAATCACCCTTATATGTTTCACTAACTTAATTATAATTTTACTATGATCATACTAAAAATAATCTGCTGGAGCCGACTTAAGCGACAGGTAATGCATTAATGAACATTGATTCATGTTGTAGAATATTTTACATTTCTCATGTAACTATTGTCTTTCATTTCCGTTTGTTTCATTACTGTACTTCATTTTAAATATTTTGCTTTGCCAATTTGGTGACCCAGGTGTTGTATACTAACCCTTCTTCCATAATTGAGATTAATAATATTTGATGATTTTTATATATTATCTTTTTACTTGTTTTTTTTAATGAGTGAAACACACCAAGCGCAGCAAACTGCAAAACACCAGGTGTTGTTAAGTAATGAACCGGAGGAGGGCTAGGATGGCAGAATTTACAACGTTGCTTCAAGGGAAGATAAGGCCTGATGAACGGGCACATGTCACCCGTGCAGGCGGCAGAGACAGTGGGAGTGTCAGCCAGACATAGTTAAGGCAAAAGCCCAATCATCCTGCATGGTTTTAAAGTAACGTCAAAATTCGAAATTCAACAACAGAGTAGGCTAAATTATCGATCCTCGCGCTCGCTCAAATTGGAGACCAGGCTGCGAGCTACATCAATGAACCATTGCCCATTTGCTAATCCAATACTGAATGTTAATATTACTGAAGTCAAAACGAATTCTATGACCTCAGCACATGGGCAAATAATAGGGCAGTGTCGACTCAAAGGCAATGGAAGAAAACAGAGGCGCCTTTGTCTAAATCACAACCACAGAAAGCCAGGAATCATCACTGATTGTGTGTTCAGGAATTCCGAGCTAGTTAGAACACGTGCACAGGGGGGGGAGCTGATGTAAACAACCCTGCGCGTCTGGATGTGAGGGGGCCTTGGACCTGGAATCAAGAATAAACACTCCCAGAGCAGAAGGTTGGCAGGGGGAGAGGTGATTTAAAAGAGGGTTGTATATCTCTCAAGGCACAAGACCCAGCTGAACAACACGGCTGCGGGGGTCACCAGAAGTTCGCATTCGCCTAGTTAAGACAAAAAGCTCAATTATTCTGTATTGCTATTAAAGTAACGTTAAAGTCGGAATTTAACAACAGAGTAGGCTAAAGTTATTGATATTCACACCCACTCCAATTAAACCAGGTCACAAGTTACGCCTACTGAACCATCACCATCATTAAGTCAATATGAAATGTTATTTCCATACTTCAATACTTTCTATACAATTCGACCCGAAGCATATGACAATCAGAACCTTCCTAAGTCAAAATTGAATCGCACCCAGACAGGAGCGAATAGTCAATATAAGGTTGAAGAGGGAAGGAAATCAAGAGCACGGCGAACTGCAAACGTAAGCAAAAAGCCGGGAACAACACCAGCCCAGCAACAGCGAGTGGGGCTTCGACAGGCCATAAAGTAGAATAATAACTCCCGGGGTCAGGGGACACAAGAAGAAGTAGGCAGACAAAAACCAGAACTGACTCCAAGGTTCAACCGCCCTCACCTACTCAGGGGTGACGGAAATTAATGAGGCCTTGAATTAACGGCAGGCAACAACAACGGCGAGCAGAGATAGGGTGGGGCAAAGACTGCGGGCTAGGAATGCAACTTCGTGTCAGTAAAGCCCTGACAAACAAGTTAAGTTAAAGACATCACAATACATAATATCGCACATAACATCAATGTTAACGCTATTCACCGTAAACTATATTCCGCTTATATAACCATCCAGGCACCAAGGAATACGAATTCCTAGGATCAAGAAACTTACCCCTTAACCTAAGATATCGGAAATAAATTAATAGTAATAAGTATATGCATGAAAGACAAAAGTAAAACTTATGGAAAAGCCAGGATAACGGGATGAATCACCACCAGGTCGAATATAAATACATAATAAAAAAAACGATGTTAAACCCAGGGTCGGAGAGAAAGGGAGATCCCGGCCGTCTTTGTATCCCCGCAGCGCGGGATAGGAGTGTGTGTACGCTCGGGGAAACACCTACACTTGGGTCGGGAACCACGATGGGAAACGACAGACCTTAGGTTACATACAGAATCATAACTGTGAAATAGTAAGGGACAAATGTTAACTTAAAACTTTTAACCATTTCTTTGTGCGCCGGGTCGGAGAGAGTGTTGCCCCCCTCCAGGTTGTGCAACACGAACAAAGACGCCTATGAGACGATTTGTAACGTCTGTGTTTTGGGTTCATGAAGAAGGCCAGACAAGAGATAAATTGCACCCAGACAGAGAGACGACTTCGAGACAATTTGTAACATCTGGTTGTTTGCTCGTGGGTTTTATGGAGGGAGTTGACAACGGAATATACCGTCAGTGATGCACACAAGGACATACGGACACACACATGGACACACCTGCCTACGGACAGATCCTGACACAGCAAAAATCGGAAGCCCCGCCTTGTGGGCGGGATCCAGGGGGATTTTTCAGCATAAAGGAACGGATCCTGAACATTGGAAACCAGTGCGACGGGAGGGTCCACTCAGAAGCTCGACCGGGAGGGTCGACTCAGGAACGAGTGCGACCAGAGCGGGTCCACTCAGGAGTGCGACCAGAGAGTCGACTCAGGAGCGAGGGCGACCAGCGGGTCGACCCAGGAGCGAGCTCGACCGGGAGGGTCGACTCAGGAGCGAGCTGCGACCAGCGGGTCGGCTCGACTCATCTTCAGCTCGTCAATCTCTGCTGCCGCCGGAGATCTCCGCTGCCGCCGGTGGTGAGCGTCGCGACTTGGCGACGATCCAGCGCTGCACGCTACGAGCGAGTTGTGGGCGCCACCTACCGACCGGGTTCCGAACTGCGACAGCGTATCAACAGCCATCCGAGCCAATTCACCACGGTGACAGGAGAGCGCCTGATACGTATGACGCGCACCGCCCCCTCACCACACGACCACCAGGCGTCTGTTTGACATAAAGAATCGACTCCGAACACTGACTATTCAAGACAACTCTTACCACTCAAACACACTCGAACCCATAAGTCATCCGTGGCTGGGAAGGCATCACAACGAGACCGAGTGGTGGCCTCCGTCGTATAAGAGTATTCTTAATTTTTATCTTTAATATTTAGTGGGCTGTACTCTTAATCGCATAAATTCCCAACAGATCCATCAATACGAACTGATTCTTGGCACCTCCTTCCGCCGAGCCACGCTCACGTGGGGAGTGGTGGCCACCGGATCCTTATCAGGTGATCTGGTCCCCAATTAGTAAACTTGGTATAAGATAACGATCTTCGGAAAAGGAGCACCGTCGCAGGCCCTTACTCCGAGCCGTTCTGCTGTCAGATAACCTGCCGATGTATCTGTTGAGATTGGTGCCTTTAAGAATAGTAACTGTTTTGATTGTGTTTTTTTTTTTTTCGCCGTATAATCTTTCAAGTATCTTTCAGTCATAATCGCCGCACGTACTCGCATCCTCTACAGAATATTCAACTGTCCCGTGACCCAAGGTGTTAACAACGTGATAAGGGTTGCGTATGATCAATAAGGAGTGCGGTACTGCGTGAACAATATTGAGTATAATCATTCATTAACATTAAGGTTTTCTTAGCATAGTATTTGCATATTTCAACGACTCTTTCTCTCACTAACAACCATCGCGTTATGAACAATATTGAGTATAATCATTCATTAACATTAAGGTTTTCTTAGCATAGTATTTGCATATTTCAACGACTCTCTCTCTCACTAACAACCATCGCGTTATGAACAATATTGAGTATAATCATTCATTAACATTAAGGTTTTCTTAGCATAGTATTTGCGTGTTAACGACTCTCTCTCTCACTAACAACCATCGCGTTATGCGGGATCCATGTGCAGTTGTCAAAGTGAAATCAGACAATCGTTGATGATACTGTATTGATGCCGTGTTGA